TTGTCTCTAATTTTCCTACCTTATTGTGGTTCCTGTAATTATAATACTGTACACAACAATTATTATTTCATTATTCATTTTTGGTTTATTGTGTTTAACATTTATTAAACATCTTTGCTGGTGAAAAGTAATGAAGTATCATTTCTTTTTCATTCCTCCATACATCCAAACTAATGTGATTCGGCTAAGGAGTGGGCATGTTACGAAACTGTATATAATGCTTAATTAATGTGAAAAGTGGGCAGACAAAAGCTTAATGTAAAATTTATTGCAGCTTTGTTTATTACAGTTTTGTAACCACTAAGATATGAGAGAACTTTGGTTTCCCCAGATCATTGTTTTAGTACATTGAAGCCCCAGAGAGCTTTCTTCCTAAATAAGTCCATTTACATGTATATCTTGTTCCTCTAGGTCCAAAATATACATATACAAAGTATGTCTTATAATTACCTTCCCAAAGTCTAAGGCCTTGTTCAGACTGACAGCCCAAATCGGATTTTTGCACATGCGTCTCAGTCTGGACGCTGTGGATGCTCAAAACGGATTTTAAAGTGTCTTTTGTGTCACTTGCAACATGACAAACAATGATGATGTCAAATCCAGAGTGACAGAAGTACTGAGATTCAAAAAGAGCAACAAAGATTAATGCTTATGCCGTAGAATTCTGAAGAGATTGGAGGGCACTCCTGCATCTGTGTTTGCAATCCACATCACCAGTGTAGCTACATAGTTACTGATACCTATGTCATTACCACAGCAACCCATGCAGATAGGCTGGTGATGTCTGGATACATTTGATCTGATCACTTGCAAATAACAGTGCATCACAAAAGATCTGGTTTAAGAAACAAATCCAATTTGCCTGCAGCCTGAACACAGTTCTCAGATAGGTCTGATCAGTGGTTTTTAAGGCGGATGTTTAATATAATGCTCAAGTTTAGTACATGCAAACATTTTAAAATTTTGTCCTGTGTTCCTTGGGACTTTAGGTAAGTGGCTCTCAAACTGGGGGCTGCAGCCCCCTGAGGGTATCCCTAGGGGGCACTAAAGAGGCCACAGAAAAATCTCAGAAGTTGTACCTGTACTTTGTAAGTTTTAATTTTACCTCTTTATAAATCTATATATATATAGTATCTGTAAAATCATAAAACCGGGCCATATCTCTAGCAAACTAGACAGGGTTCTGAACTGCTGCGTTAAGCCACATTGAGCTTTTTTCATGTTAAATGTTTTATGTTCACATCTCAACAATGGACAAATAGTTTGGCCACATTAGTAAGCACACAGCCAGCAAAACAGCAATGTGTAAAAAAGATGATACTAGCCACTTTGAGGCCTGGTTGGTCTGGATCACCTGCTCTAGTTGGCTCTATCTGGCTGATTAAAACAGCACATAATGCAGTCACCCAGGGCCTTACAGGTATCAGGTGTTAAATGATGAGGAACAACCAACCAGAGAAGGCATTTTTCTGGTCTTCCAGACATTAAATGACATGTTATACATCTCCTCTTTTGTCTTTGATTTGGGAAATGAGTAAAAATTCACTCTCTCCACCAAACTTTTGGGACATTGGGCAAGTTGCTGCATATTTGAACATTTTTTATAGTTTTTTAGAGGTAAGTTAAGTATAGTTATAATTGCCAGGCTATGAGGGACAAACTGAATGAACCGATTTGTTACAGTGACACTTTGATGCAGAGCAGTGCTGCATCTCTACTTAGTTAAGAATATCAAAGACAGAAGCTTGTGTGAGTGAAGCAGGATAAACGATCACCATTCCCTGAATTCGCACTTGAGCATCAGTTTTTCCCTATTGAGCAGCATAATGTCATAACAAGTTTATTTTCAGGGATCCCCCAGAAATTTCAGGGGGTCCAAGAAATTAATTAGGGGGTCTCAGAACCCCAAGGGCCCCCTGTATTTTGTACTTTAATAAAGTAGCTGTTGAATAAGTATTTAATCCATATGTACTTACGTTTCACTACATTCACTTACATGTTGTAGATTGTGGAAATGAAGAAATACATGTACCTATATTTTTGTTCTCTATATGTGTTGCACTCTCCAAGCATGCTGAGGTGCTTGGCAATGCAGCATAGTCAGAAATTCAACAACATGCAGTGGCAAGCTTCATGTGCATGGGCGGATGCGTGTTGGCCTTTATCCCCCAGACAAGAAAAGGTGGATTAACATATGAGCAATTGGGACTTTAAAAAGCTTGTGTTGTATTACCTGTCTGTCTGCTACAGTTAGGCATACTTTATGTATTGTTTGTTCATTCTCAAAGCAATGTAAAAGATAACACTGTAGCTCTGAGCTCATACAGTAGCTTGTGATTTGTTTATGTCAGGAATTCACATTTTCATTTATATGCTGCTTTCACTTGTTTGTTTACAGTCCTTTGCGTTAGGATGTTGGTCTTAATGATGTGCTGAAATCGCATTTCCCCTTTCTTTGCAGATACAAGGTGTTCTCCTCCCACCGCCAGGACAAAATGGCCACAATCTTCTGCAAAGTCTAAACATTGCTCGTTTTCACGATAACGCTGCGGCTCCGTTTTTCTGATCACTATCCATCACAGGAAGTCATAAGGGCACACTCCCATTTATCTGGCGTCTTCTAGTCTGAGAACCTCTAGTCACAGCTGGGGCTTTTCCCCCTCATATCTAAAGCCCAACTGCAATAATAACTGAAAAATAAATAACTAAGATATTTGCTCTGTAGTATTTGGTGTTGCTCAATCATGCATGGTAGCTGGTGCAGGAGCAATGCTGTCACATGCAGTGCTGTCCTTAAAGAGGTGAAAGACAACTAATGCCCCTTTTCCATTAACAGCAAAAGACTTTTTGGGCAAAAGAGGGGGTCCAAAACTGTAATATTATGTAAATCACTACCGACAAGAACCCCTCCATTCACTAACAGGCCCTCTGAATTGTGTCATCTCATTGGGCCAGAAGCTGTCCTGTAGCTCCTCCTCATTAAGGAGTTTTAAAGAGTATGACATGTATGTTATCATTTGGTGTAGCTCACTACCGCCACCTTTCCCTTACAGGAGTAAACTCCTCAGTTCATCTTTAAAAATGATTTCACATGTGAAACAATGAACCTCTTCACTGAAAATAAAACTCATTGCTCATTTATTCACAACTGGTTGTAGCTTTGCAGCAGGATATCACGGCATAATAGAACAATCAGCAATAATCTTTAATCTTTGACATTTAAAGGCACCTCTAATGGTAAAAGTACATTTTAGTTGGACTATTGGAGTTGGGACACCGGGAAAGTAACCTGTACCTCTTGCTGTACCTGTTCCAGAGTCCAAGGACCCCCGTACCCTTGACCAGGTCAAATCAGAGTAATAATGGTGAAGAGGAGGCAGCGGGGAAGTCTCTGTTTGGCATTCCTCGCAGAACATGCTACTCGTTAGAGCCTTCATTAAGAACAGCTTAACCCACACGCTGATGGAGAGGCCATCAGACACAATTAGACTCAAGCTGGTCCTTTAACTTCTTCAAAACCTTGTCCACAGCTATTCAGTCCATTTCTTACACTAACAGATTAACAAGTGACATGTGCGTGACCTCAACTGAAATGTGAATTTGTTGTGCTCATGAATTAGTCTCAGGTACTTGACGTGCTTTTTTCTCCCAGTCGCTTAACAACATGTGCTCTTTGTTTATGTACGTGACGTAAAGTGGTTTCTCCAAGTGCAGGGAATGAACATGTAGTGTGACTGACACTTAAGGTCATTTTAGTTCAATTCTCAAGGACGTTTTATATATATATATATATATATATATATATATATATATATATATATATATATATATATATATATATATATATATGTTGCTGCTGTCAGAACAAAACCTGAAACGGTTTTTCAGTTTTTGATGCAATTTGAAAATGCCTGTTACCCTTTTACATTGTGTGTAAATTTCACAATGAATTGACCAAATCAAATGGCCCAAAATTCTGGTTCCATTGATTTCCATTAAAAGTAAAGGATGTTTGGTCCTTCTCCTGTAAAGTTATCATTTTGAAGATACAAGGTTTTGTTCCAAAATTAGCAATATGTATATATTTTATATACCAACCTGCATTATGTATGGTGTATAATGGACATTATATATATATATATATATATATATATATACCAACTGCTGCACTGTCACCATCAATCACCATCAAAACAGTACTTAAAGCTTTCATCTTTGAGAGAGAGGAGAAAATCAAGCTCCACTCTTGCTTCAGATCTCAAAAAATTGTTTCTGTCCATCCTTCCACTGTGAGAAGACAACTGAATACTCTGAGTCTGAAAAGATGTGTAGCTGTCAAGAAGCAGTTACTGAGAAAATAGAATTGACAAAAAAGGAAAAAAATCTGCAAATGAAACAAAGACACTGCTGGTGTTTTCAGCAAAATAACTAGGCATTTCAGAGTCCAGATCTCAACATCATTGAATGTGTTTAGAATTGCTAGGGCACAGAAAATCCTAAATGCACACATATATGTACACATATATATCTCTCTCTCTATCTCTCTCTCTCTCACACACACACACACGCACACACACACAGATATACACACATAACATTTAGGTACATTTACGTTTACATTTATTAGGTACACCCACCTTGTACTACACTCTACTCATTGGCTATTTTATTATATATTTATATATAGGTACATTGTAGCTGTTGTCAGTATATGACCTCATTTATCGTATGGTGATCCTTTGAATGGAGTACAGGGTGGCTGACAAATTATGTAAGGTACAAATGGGTTAAAGTCAGTAACTGTAAAATAATTGTAACCTACATTGAGCATCTTTGTCTGATAAGTGTATAGACACAATGGGAAATAAGTGTAGGTACAAAGGAGATGTACATTTTATCATTTTAGCATTTTTTTTTTACCATTTACACTCAAAGAAATAATGTGCACATTAATTTCTATAAAAAATTCTTTTAATATAAAATATTATATACATCCCTAAATGCACGTTTAAATAGTACATTGATGTGAAGCATAGACATATGGATAGCAAGGAAAACTGCCTTTGGCCAGGAAAAAGTATGCACATGAATATCAGCACTGCAAAAGTGAACAAATTACTGGTGTTGACACACCACATACTGGTAGGTTTAATCAAATGATTTACCTGTTGCACTGCAGTGGCCAAAGAAAAGTAAGAGCAGTGTGAGTGCAGTTGTTTTCCACGGAACAGGGAATTATGGAGGGAAGTCCATCATTCAGCTACAAGCTCTTAAGAATAATATTTTCAGAGAACAGTTTAAAAAATAGCAATTTTAGCAATAATTTGTCCCATTGTTCAATGTCCCAGTGGTACAGCTGTAGGTGTACTCATTGAAAGTCTGTTAAACATACTCTGTGCGCTCTTTTGATGATGGTCCTGAAGAAGTCAGGTACTCGTTCTGGCGCTGGTGGAATACCAGACGTGGCTCGGCATAGCCCAACCCTGAGCAGGAGGCGAAGAACAGGATCGCTGCGACCACGTGGAGAAACCCTGCGGCCCAGCCCACGAACATCGCATCTCCGAACTCAAAGCGAGGCACCACCTCTGGCAATGAGTGGTCGAAGAACTTCTTCACTATATCGTGGGCCATGAAGGAGACAGGAACGAGTCCCACAATGCCAGCTATTAAGCACAGGACCCCTGCTGTGATCTTCATCCCACGCTTCACCCGCCAGCCCTCCTCCCACTGACAGCTCTTCACTTGTTTCAGTCCAGGGATGGCGATGATGATGCCCAACAGGCTCAAGGCGTCCGACAGACACATAAGGATGCGGGCCAGCATGATGTCATGAGAGAGGCCCAGCAGGCTGTCGTACTCACGGCACTCTGTAGCCCCCCCCTCTTGCACCACACAGGTCTCCCACAGGCCCACCTCGTAGCTCTCTGCAGACAGCAGCTCGGTGGACAGGCTTTGCCATGAGGGCATGAGCGTGGCGGCCAGCGAGCAGAACCAGGCCCCAGTGCCCACTATTAATCCAAGCAGCTCCAGAAGACTGGAGCAGGGGTTAGACATGTTCACCTGCCCAAATGTCACCTCAGGAGAACAGAGAGAGATGGAGAAGGAGAGGTGCAGTGAACGAGAAAGAGAGGCAGGGAGAGAGAGAGAGAGAGAGAAGGAGAGAGAGGCAACAAGGCCCCAGAATAGCAACAGCGTCTTTGGAACCTAACAGCTGACCTCCACTCCAGCAAACTTTACAGTCCGTTAGTCTCCACTCAATGAAGCCCACATCATCTCACTTCGAGAGCTAGAACAGGAGGAGGAGGAGGAGGAGAGAGGGAGTGAGCAAGACAGGGCACTCTGACATTAGCCCTGCCCTCTAGGCTCCATCCCAGTGAGAGAGAGCGAGAGAGAGAGGAAAAAACACATGCAGGCCCTGCCCCGCTCGTCCCAGACAGGACACCACACGGGATGCCATAAAAGCGTAGACAGGATGCAATTAAAATGCTGATTGTTGTGGTTTTTAGGGGAAAGTGGCTGCTTTCAGCATTCCATTTCAGGTTGTTTGCATCTCTTTCTGGTAAGTTTTGTCACCATGCTGGAGGAGATGGTCGAGAAGGCTTATCATGCAAGAAACATGCTGTGTTGCCAGGAGCGGAGTGTAGGAGATAAGCTCCTGTGAATGCCTGGCAGGGCGTCTCATGCACAAGAGGAGGGCTAAGTGTGCAAATGCTGGGAGCCTTTGTTGCTGGTGTGCAACTTAATTTTTATTATTTGTTTATTTGATTACAGTAGCTGATTTATTTATTTGTTAAATTAGTCGTAAATACGCAAATTTGTAATAATTTTGTACATAAAGAAAAGAACAACAGCTTTGTCTGAAAACACATTTTTATTTTTCTGATAAGGGGGTACTAATCACAGTGTAGTGCTGAGATTTCTTCTATGTGTAAAGCCCACTCCCAACAGGCATATATCATGAAAAACAGTAGAAAATTAATGAAACTGGCGTTATTGAACTCTACATACAGTCCTTTTCTAAGTGAAAATAAAGTTAACGCATCCTCTACAGAGGACACACTTGAATATAACATTTTAGTGCACAATTTCTATTTCTTCGCTGGGTTTAACATAACATGCCATAACTTTTGCACAGGCCGCAGTTTTTTTTTTCAATATGTCATTTAAAAGAAGTGTATTTTGTTCTAATGATACACTCTCAGAAATAAAGGTACTAAACTGTCACTGGGGCAGTACCCCTCTAGTCACTGCGGTGGTACCCTCAAGGGTACATCTCAGTACCTTTAATCAGGGAACATAATTGTTCCATAATCGATTGTTTTCTAAGTTGTATTATAGTTGTACTTGAAAGTATTTTCTAAGTTGTATTGACTCCAAACACCCTGCCATCTCCAGGCTTTTTCTTCTATTATTCTGTTTTAAAACATTAGGTTATGAAAAGGAACAAATACGTAATTTTCACCTGGTCAGAACATTTAAGGTACACAATTGGAGCTTAAAACCACTGTTGTACCTTTGAGGGTACATTTACATTGTTTTCATTCATTTGTGAATGAAAAATGTACCTGCACTGAACATTATTTTGGCTGCACGTCCAAACTTTTTAAGGCTGTAGCCTTTCGCTCTCATATCACTGTTACATCTTGTTTCGAGGTGAGCTGTAGCCTTCCACTTTGCTATTACTGTTTATAAGTTTGCTCCTGCAAGTTCTGTTCAGCATAGCCCATGCAGACGTCCTTCAGTGCTAACATAACTCATACTGCCACCATCAGCACTGTGTTTTGCTTACTGAAGACTCAACATACTTCAATGATAAACAAATTCACAGCATGGCAGCTGTTGGACGTAACATTTTTCAAAAGATCCATCAATGGAACTTGCCATTTCAAAACTGTATTTGAACAAGATGACTACAGTGGTGATGTCACAGCAACAGTAGTCATGCAGCTGGGCTTCAGGGTGGAACTACAGATGGTTCAAAGGGTCAAACTATAGAAATAAGTTAATGGAGTAAAATAAATAGTGCGATTAATAATTTATCCCATTATTGATGGATTAACTTTCATACCACTTATATATAACAATCAGCCGTAACATTGTATCTACACTCATTGTCCATTTTATTAGTCCCACTGATCATGTAGGTGCACTTTATAGTTCTACAATGCAGACTGTAGTCCATCTGTTTCTCTGAATAATTAGTTAGCCCCCTTTTACCCTGTTATTCTATGGTCAGGAACCCCAGGACCACCACAGAGTAGGTGTTATTTGGGTGGTGGGTCATTTTCAGCACTGCTGTGACACTGACATAGTGGTGGTGGTTTGTTAGTGTGTGTTGTGCTGGTACAAGTGGATCAGACACAGTAGTGCTGCTGGAGCTTTTAGACACCACTCACTTTTGTCCCCTCACTGTCCACTCTATTAGACACTCCTACCTTGTCGACCCACCTTGTAGATGTAAGGTCAGAGACAGCAGCTCATCTGTTGCCGCACAGTTTGTGTTGGTCATCCTCTAGTGCTTCATCAGTGGTCACAGGATGCTGCCCATAAAATGCTGTTGTCTGTATATTTATGGTTGGTGGACTGTTCTTAGTACAGTAGTGACACTGAGGTATTTAAAATGTAAAAAATAAAATCAAGTTACCATTTTGAAGATACAAGGCTTTGAGCTTTGAGCTTTAGAGCAAAAACCCTCATTCAAGAGGGTTTTTGGATCCATACTTCTAATTTTAATTAGGATTTTAACTATACTTTCACTTAAAGGGGATTTCTCAACAAATGATGGTCACTGATTGTTCAAAATTTCTGCATAGTCTTTCAGACGGGATGTGAAATGCTCTGTTTTAGAAAAACTTACACAGTGAGAACAGCACCATATTAGTGATGATAGAAATCAGGCGTCTGAAGCGTTTAAAGCCTCTAAAAGCTACTTCACTGAAAGTTGTTACATGAGACGGTTATGTATATGCTGCCTGATGTCTGAGACACTGTTTTATTATAACACTGATATATGATTTGGGGGCCTAAAGGCCTAAAACATATTTTTTTTACAATACATTCAAGGTAAAATAGACCCAAAAGAAGACTAATTCTCAGATTTAGCACTATTTTGCCATAATCAACATTGCACGTAAAACCGAGAACATATGTGTAGGTTCACTGGTTTGGAATAGCAAGTAATGGTGAACATGAATCTATCTGCGCTGTAGACACTGAGACCCCTGGTTCCTATCACCACCATTGTAAAGACATCAGAGTCAACACCTTTCTCAACAATGCTGTTTCACATCAATCCACCCTGAACGACTCTGTTTACATGTCAGTGGTTGAATTATTCAGAAACGTTTACTGAAATTCTCTTGTATTTTTCAACTGCTGGGCTCAGTGCAAAAAAAGAAAGAAATAACTTGAAGAACACTTTGAAGAATGAAAGACCATTCAGTAAATATTAAACACAATGCATGTTTGAATAAAATGAACAGATAAACACTATATGAAAGACACCGTTTCAGATTTCAGACTGACAAAATCATCTAGCATTTTGAAAACATTGTCTAGTATTTTGAAAAGGTGAAGATCATTGGATGGAACAAATCAAAGGCAAATAGTGGAAAGACCCCTGTTATGAGGGGTTTTATAGTTTGTTTTTGTTCTTAAACACATGAAAAGACATTATGCTTCATTCATTCCTTCTAAAAATAACAGTACAGTGCTGTATTACACAGTATAATGCACATAAGTCTTTAAATTCTTGTAGTGTAAATCAGAATAGTTTGTGTATATTTAATGTCCACTTCACTTATAATATACTACTACTATTACTAATAATAATTATATATACATATACATATATGTATATATATATATACATTTATGTATATATATATATACATATATATATATATATATATATACATGTGTGTGTGTTCATATATAGATGCAAAGATTAAAAACTATTAATACATTATTGCTGGCAAAATGTCTGTTTTAATTATAAATATAGTTGTAGTACATATATTCACTTCGCACAGCACTCAAGTTGAAGATGCTTCCTAATGTTCTTAAACATCCCTGTCAGTACAATTATTTCAAGTGGAAAGTTCATGGAACAAAGACTTATCATCCCTGGACAGGCGTACCACACAAGACTTTATAACGCTCTCTCAGAAAGAGTTGCAGGATGACCTGAAAGCAGCAGGAACAACAGTTACATGCTAAACAATAAGTAATGAACTTCACTGCAATTGTCTCCATTTCTACACCCCATGCAAAACCCCTCAACTAAAAAGGAAGCACAAAGATCCAAAATTTGCACACGAGCATTTAGCATTCAGCTCATCATATTATGATCCCAAGAAGACCACTCCCACACTAAAGTGCAGAGCTGGGAGCATCATGATATAGCGCTGTTTCTCTGCAAACAGTACAGGTGCATTGCATGTCATCAAAGGAACCATACATAGAGAAATGTACTGAGAGGTATTAAAGGAGAATTTAATCCCATCAGAAAGGAGTGAAGAAAGACATTTCAACAAGATGACATCCCCAAATATACAGTTAAAATAACTCATAACTGTTTACTGAAAATGTGAAGGAGGTGAAGGTCCTTGGATAGCCCAGTCAATCGCTTGATGCAAGTATATTAAATAATAAAAACAAAGGAGTGTCTAAATATTTGTTTCCCCTCACTGTATCGGCTGTAGCACAGATGGTGTAGAAATGTGAACATGTGCAACTCAACAAACCTGATCTAACCTGAGTTGCTTTTTAACACAGTGCAGGACTTTTTAGGAGTTTTTCAGCAATAGTTTCTCCAACATCACACACACAGCTTAGTTTGTAGTAATGACAGATATTGTTTAGCCTTTTTATTTTATTTAATTTTTTGTTAATGAAGTAATCTAGCCCGCTGTAGTGGAGTTGACCTCTTCTTTCACAGGCAACTGTCTCGTGCATGGGGTCCACACTGGTATCTTTACAAGTCATACTTAGTACCATATGGGGCCTGAAGGGTCTCACTAACCAGCAGGGTCAGACCAGGGGCAGAGTACCTCAGAGGTGGAGGTAGCACTGTGGGATCCCATAGGGGAAATCTGATATATGGCAATATATTGACTTCAAATATATGTGTAAGCATATGTGGATTTCCCTTACATCCAAATTATATTTGTCACATATGGACATATATCGTCACTGTCAATAAAACAAACAAAAACAAGCATCTCCATTTTTTTGTCATTTTACAACCCCATTTCCAAAAAAGTTGGGACGCTGTGCAAAATGTAAATAAAAATAAAATGCAATGATGTGCAAATCATCTAAAACCTATATTTCATTGAAAATAGTACAAAGACAACCTATCAAATGTTGAAACTGAGAAATTTTATTGTTCTTTTTACATTTTTGCCTATTTTGAATTTGATGCCAACAACACGTTGCAAAAAAGTTGGGACGGGGGCAACAAAAGGCTAGTAAAGTTGTGTAATGCTAAAAAAAACACCTGGTGGTTGATTGGCAACAGGTCAGTAACATCATTGGGTATAAAAGAGCATCCCAGAGAGGCTGAGTCTTTCAGAGGTAAAGATGAGGAGGAGTTCACCACTCTGAGAAAGACTGCACAAGCAAATAGTGCAACAATTCAAGAATAACGTTTCTCATAAAGTTTATTATGTTAAATGGTTAGATATATGCTGCATGATTGTTTTATGATAGTTTTGTGATAAAGTAAATGTGATAAAACTGAAATGTATTTTAATCCATTTATTTTAATCCATCCATGGTGAAGTGGACATTTAGGGCTTTGTAAGACAAAATAGTCCTCAAAGAAAACTTTTTTTTTTCCAGATTTATGACTAGTTTCCTATAAAATTGGTGAAATTACCATTTCCAGCTATGCCTCTTCAGCCTTGTGACACAGTTTCCAGTAACAGCTCACATCAGTAGTTCCCAAAACCTGCTTTGTAGTCTACTTGCATGATACAATTTGAACAATTGGTTCAGGTCCAGATGTTTTTGCTCTTCAGTTGTGACTCAGATAAGGCAAAGACATGTAGGGCAGGTGGACCACAGAAAAAACATCATTACAGGATCAGCGGTGGAACATACTGTCCAAACATACTGTGTACACTGAACTTTATTTTAACTTATGAAAAAATTGCTTTTTTTGTTTTTCATTTGACGATTTTCACAGGTAAAAATCTCTTACTGGTATCTAAAATCAAGCTTCCTTTCCTCTTTAGTGCTATTTTTACACTCTGATGAAAAATTCTATGATTTTTCTGCTGAAAACTTGTCCTCGGTTGACGTTTAGTGCAGCCACAAGATGGCGCACTGTCTCCAGGGAATAATTGTACACCTCTGTACTAAACTGTTAGGCTATAAACAAAGGTCATTCAGGTCAAGATGTGTTGGTTTGAAACTCTACAGGCTGTATGTTAATATGATATTTTACTAGACATGCAGTTCACCCATGGCAGGCATATGAAATTATATTCTTGTAGACTCGAAAATAATTACTTTTCAAATAACGTGATGGTTATTGTTTAAGCTAGCCAACCCAAAAAATGGAGTAAAAACTTCAGGATTTTTTTTGAGTTCTGCGCACCTCTAATAATTTGGTTGTGTATGAAAGTTGCTAAGTGGTTCAGTGGAGCTGAAACGCCAATTTAAAGCTCCATCTCTGAAGTGGCAAAATCCTACTAACCCATTGGTCAGACGGGGCTCATTTAAATACAGCGTCATGCGTATATGGGCGGGAATTATGCAAATTACCCCTGCTCGAAAATGGCCAGTGTGGAATAGCGATGGAAAATTCGATTCAGTATAGAGAACCGATTCCTGCGAACTGTCCATTGAATTAATCGAACGACCGATTCAACGATTCATGGCACAGTGATTAGTCAGATTAACGTTATTGTCATTTCATCCAAATATAGCGACTTTCAATGCGAGTCTACAATGATAAGTAATTTCAGCTTTACTCCCACCTCATGCATATACAACGACATAAGATGGTGTGTGATTTGGCAAGTGACTCTGGTGTTCGCTGCTTCTACAATAACGCACAAATCACAACCATAACAGAAAGAGAGCCAACTGCAGTCGACAAGGAGTAAATGAAAGAGAACCGATAGTTTTCCATGGTGTGATGTTGCGAGGTTACATTGTGAAAGGTTGTTATTCGAATTAAAATACGTGTAATTTGCGTTACAGCTTATGATCTGTGCGAGACACGTCGACGCTACAAAAGGTTCGACTCAGTTGGACTTGTGAATCGGTTCATCCGATTTATTGAAAAGATTCGGTCCAAAAGAACCGATTCGCTCGCGAGTCGGTGCATCCCCAGTGTGGAATGAAACATGGCGGGAGAGGCGAACATGGAGGAGCAAACTTTTCGGAAAGTGGATGCGGGAGTTTAACGCCGTTCGGTCACCGAGTTGTGTCGGCTCACTTGTTTTTCTTACTGCGTTTCCGAGAGCTGATGGGAGTTAGGCGTTTGGTAATGCAGTAAAGGGAAAAGTTGACGTTTTTCGCGTGGAGAAAAGGCCGGGGAGGGTGGGGAGAGGGCGCAGGCGAGCCGTGCGCTATGCCGTGGGAGAGCGGCGCTAAGCGGAGAGAAAGCTCGGAGCTACCGCTGCCCGCGGGCTGGGAGGAGGCGAGGGACTACGACGGCAGGGTGTTTTACATCGACCACAACACTCGGCAGACCTCGTGGATCGACCCGAGAGACAGGTAAACCCGGTAAACCTATCACACCGCGGACGGTCTCCGTCCTTACGGGCCGAGTTTGGATCATCCTCCGGGGTTGGCAGCCTGTTGCATCCGCCAGAAGTTTGTCTGGAGGGCGGGGGCTGTGTTTTAAATGATGAACATAAAGCTGGCGAAAACTTAGAAAACACGCAGCTTTGTTTTTGTCTCTGTTTGCCAGAGTTTGCGGAAAATACGGAGTGTTAATAGTGATAAACAAATCTACACTAGCCCACCCGGGTTGTGTCTATGTTCTGCTGCTTGTACTGATTTATAATAGACAACAGTGGCTTTTTGTTTCCGTGTAGCCTGATTGAGAAGTCAGATTTGCAATGATTGAGAACTTTAAATTAAGGCAGAGCACAACGTTTAAATGTAACTTATTAGTTTAAATAACTCATTTCTGAGTCATATTTTCTGTGAACAAATGTGAACTGTAGATGAGGCAGAGAAACCTCTAACCTCTATCAAAGATGGATGGTGTATCTTCTCTGCCTCTTCTGTCATTGTAAACTCCTGTGTTAGTTGATGCTCTGTGTCTTCAGAATCAACACTAAGGAAAAGTGACCGTCTCTGAGAGATCTGTTGTTACAGGATCCCTTAATATGAACTTTTGGTCAACCATCCAGCCAGTGTGACCATTTAATCTGCTGTCAATTTGGTATCATTAACAGTCAGAGGTCTTGAGTATCATAAAAGGAGGAAAGATCATCAATAACATCTCAGTGAATGATGGTTTAACCCCTAAAGAGAGATTTGATAGTAGAGCTGGGCAATATGACAATACTTATCAGTATTATGGTATTTTATCCCACAGTATGTCACAATATGCTTTTCTCAGCATGTTGACGATCAGTACTTTAAGACCACTTACCAAATGCATGTGTGATTACGAGGAGAGCCTGTTTAATTGGATTTAGTGTAGCAAAGTGTGTAAAATATTGAGTACAAATATTTGAGTGCATAGTGTTTTATAGTATGTTTAAAATATGGACTTATTTTGTCTGTTCTAACTTATCAGATGTCAAAATAAATAAATAAATAAATATTGTGACATTGTGTATTGTAGAAGAAGTCTTGAAATATCATATGACATTTTGCCATATCACCCTCCTCTATTTGATAGTTTGCAAAACTTGCATGTATTCCTTATTTGTGAGTAATATGGACTAAAAGATGGATTTAAGGAGTCCATGTTTGTTGTCAAACGTGTAAGTCAGCGTTTTGTTAATCAGCAGGTCTTTTGACAGATTCTCTAAAAATAACAGATCACATGTAGCACCTCCTTAATATCAGCAAATGAATACATCATTGTGGAGTAACTAAATATTAAACAAAAGTGTTGGTAGTGAATAATATGTGTTGGTAATGTGGCAAGTAGTTAGCTGTGTTTCAGTCTATATTACTTGGGACGCTCAGACACACACATACAGTGTGCTGGTGTAGTGATCTGTGTCTGGAAAGTGAGTCCGTGATGTCCCTGTCTTTAAATTTCAATGGGCTGTAGTGGTGAGTGCACAAGAATTGCTCAAAGTGGACTTAACACATTCATCACACAGAGCTGTAGGCCTTCCTGACTCATATGTCAGCTCCATACTCATCACCTGAGCTTCTTTACAAGTCTAACAGTTTCTATCAAAAGTGCATTTTATCCCTCAATATTCATCTTGGAAAATTCACCAACATGGAGGCTTTACTTTGCTTGACTGATCCAAAACGTGTGTAGCACTTTCCCGACTTGCTTATTACAGAGTTCATTACAGAGGCCTGCTGATGACATCTCCAAATGACTTATAAATGGTATAATTTTTACCGTCATGATTGCAGTATCCCCCAAGGTACTGGGTGAACATGCCCATCTTATTTCCTAAAACAGATTAACAAATCATCCAAACTGAATTTTCCCATCATTGGACACCATTGTCATAAAATTACCTCTTTTTTTTTCTCTTTTTGAAAAAATATGGCCACATAATGTAAACAGAGTGCAAATGAAAGAGAGAATTGAAGTGGAGCTCCCAGAGTTCCATGTGCAAATATGCGAGGAATGCTAGCTGGGCCACTGGGAAAGCACTGTGGATGGGCTTTGTGAGGTCTGTATTTTCACCAGCAGAGAAACAGGCTAAAACCAGGCTTTCAGCCGGCCTCACTGAGACACGAGTTCACTAGAAGCCCTAGCATGAATTGAATAGAGGGGATTTGCAGCCACTGGGAAAGTTGTAACACTTTTCATCGTGATTGTTGTATAGCTTATCATTTTCCCAAACAATTTATGTGTGGCTGAGTACCTCAAAGAGAGCAGTGTCTTTGTAGTGCTGGCCAGTTTCTGGGATCTACTCAGCCCGTTTTGGAGTCTGTGCTGCCAGTGTGCATTTATATATTACTTCAGTTCATGTCTTTGTTTCTGTATTATACAATGCAGATTGCTATCTGTGCATAGTTTCCTTATATCCCAGTAGCTGTTTTGTTTTCAGAGGTTCAATGGCTCTATTTAAATAAACACAATGGGCTGGTTTCTCAGACCCAGATTAAGTCTAAGCCTGGACTAAATGGGATTTAATGCCATTGGTGCAATGTAGTCCAAAACTAGCCTTAACCCATGTCTGAAAAACCGGCTGAATGGGAAAATTGGTTGCTATAGGGTCGTACATGTCTATAAATGTTAAATATTGCTTGTTAATAATTTGTCAAGCTGGTAATACAAAACAAGCAAAATTCTGACCCTCCCTAGTTCCTCAGTGCCTCTGAGCTACCAGTTGTTTGACTTCGGCCTATGAATTGAAGACCATTTAAGCTATCCCAGTTTCCAGCTGAGGATGGTTGGATGAATAAGAGAGGCTGGTGTTCATTTGCCATGCTGTTTAATTACACATGGTAAGTGCAACAGAGAAGCGCACACAGAGCTTGTGAAAAAAGATTAACCTAATGTTTTCCAGTACTGATGTTTTTTTTTTTTTTAACTGTTTGTTAGCGATCATAGGCAAGGCTTTAAGCATTTCTGAGTTTTTTATGCATTTTTTTTTTGGCATAAAAATTGCAATCATTGGTGGTCTGTAGTGACCACGATCAGTTATTACAGTGATCTAGAGATGAACTTGTGCTTTCAGGCTGACATAGGACCTGGTTTCCCCCCCTGCATTCTCCTCTTATCTGCTTACAGAGCTCATAGCAGATCCGATTCATCTAAGGATGACTGACTGGCTGAAAAATGCAGAGGTCTAATCAACAGCCTAAGTAAATTTGAGTAGTGGGGCTGTACGATAGTGACATAAAATGTGATATTTGAAAAAAACGACGTGCTGTGTGCAAGTATGAGGAGAAAATGCATGATATAGATAATTTATAAGATTACTATAAGAGTCTGTGTGTGTGTGTGTGTGTGTATGTGTATATATATATATATAACACCTTCAGTTATTCATTATATTGTTTTGGTAATCACCTTGTATTAACATTTGATTTCTCTAATAAACTTCCAGTGCCTTAAACTGCCCAAGTAAACGCTTAAAATCCAATACATATTCATGTATTTTCTTTCCCTATGCAGTGAGTTAAAGAGCACATATTAGGACAGTTTTCCTTACTTTTTCTGAAAGAGCTTGATGTAGTATACATTGTTAGTGTTTCAGCACATACAGTTCACTCCCTAATCCAAAACATCCCCTTTTGAATTCATTGTTTTTGTGATGTTACAAAAGCCATTGCATTTACGTGTATCTGCCTAGACAGCAGTTCAGCTCTGCTCCTGTCAATGAAGTTATAAAGAGTGTTTCAGTCTGGACTGCTATTTCAGTGAGGCATAGTATCTAGTACCCAATCATAACAAAAGTAATTTAGGCTACAAATATCAGTCTTAAAGGCACAGTAACAAAAACAGCCTGTTTAATTCTAAAGGATAAGTTGGGAAATGATCTTATGAAAATGAATCATGACTGTTTTTGATGCGTAAAAGCACACAAACGTTGTAAGTAAGGCTCAGTGGAAAAAATGTGGGACATGGGCCGTTTAAAGCTTGTTTGATGGATTACAGAACCATAAATGAGTCAAAGTAAAACATCAGAAAACTGATAGCAACCCTGAAACACCATAAAGAAGAGCAAGTTAAAACTTAGGGCTGAGCAATATGACAATTTTTTATCATCATCATGATAAATTACATCGCTGTGTGTCACAAATACGCTTTTCTTAGCCTATGGCGGAGATCGCCAGAACTTTAAAACACTTCCCGTGTTTAATTACAAATAGAGCATAAATAGTCCTGTTTAATTGGATTTACTTCAGCACAGTATGTGAAATGATAAATACTAGGTTTTGACAGTATATTTAAATGTGGCACTGTGTCATCGGTTACAACTTATCAGATGTCAGAAAAATTCAATATTGCGACATATTTATCCTGAAAACCTCTTGAAGTATTGTGATATTGCTTTTTTGCCATGTTTGACCAGATCTATTAAGACTCTAAACGAATTCTGTTTGTAAATACTGGAGCAAAAAGCCTCTGAGTTTTGCCTCATACTGAGGAATGACAGTAATGCTTGTCAAATGAGATGTGTCATTATCAAGAGTCATGGGTTTAAACTTAGATGTGTCATCGGCAGACAGGCAAACAAATTCAGGACTGTGACTTTAATTATTCTGCTTCAGAGAATGCAGGCCAAAAGGAAAAGCAGAATAATTAAAGTCACAGTCCTGAATTTGTTTGCAATCCGTTGCATTTTTGTTATTTAAAAAGAAGAAGAAGAAGAAAAGTGGAGTTTGCTGCTGGAATATAGATAAGAAAAACCTGATCTACTTGAAAGCTGTGAAGTCATATGACTAGCCTTTGTAATGTGAAGCTGATTAGTGTCTGAGAATCTCATATTTCCATCAGTGTCATGAAAGCGGTCATAGAGTGTAGGGTTTGTGTTTAGGAGGGCCTTTAAACTCTAGGCTGCTGTGTAACTCACCTAACCGAAACTTATGTCTTGGTGTTTACTATAACC